ATGGCATGTGGGAGGTCTCCAAGCTGCCACATCGACAAATCGACCGTGAAGTGTACGAGGATTTATCGGACGCTGGCAACACTGTGGCCTTTAAGTTCCGAGTGAAGAAGACACTGGCCGACGGATCCACTGTATCTGTGTTGAAACGTGTGTTGTCGAGGCGATTTCGCGATAACAACCAAGTGGTGATCATTTGGAAGATCTTTTCAGAGGGCGAAGGAATCTTCAGTGGGATGGATGCCAATGAGACTATTTGGGTTCGTATCCGACCATACTTGGGTGGAGTGATGAAAGACGCTTGTTCGAGACAATCACCAGTACAGCACGTAGCGATTAACACCGATGTGTTGGCGGTAAAGGCGTTTCGGACTATGATGCAAGACATGGTTGTTGAGGACGCTGGAGAATGCGCCCGGTTGCTGCGTGAGTTTTTACGGGATGGAGTTTTACCAAATATTGAGCATGAACTTTAATTGTTACAATCAGGAATTCCGGGTATACTTACAATGCGTTCAGTGCAACAAGCCGTCATTAATTCCACAACACTTACAGCCTTAGCGCATGGCTTTTTACGTAATATAATCGAAGAGGCTTGGTTCTACTCGCACTTATCACTTTAATGCATGGAAACCCACTGTTCTCGATCTGGTAGTTAATTTTTTTGGGATTTTTTTGCTCGTACTTAATAGAAGTATTACTGTTATGCTGCTTGCACTAACGATGAAATGAGGTGAGTTAGGCAGTGATTCAGGTGAGGACCTGGCGAATTTGGTGTTTTTAATGGATACAAGTTCTTGTATGCGTGAAAGCATAGTTAACACAAACGGTTTGTCGAAAATCCAAAGAGTGACTCAAACAACACCAGGAGAATTTTTGGGCACTAAATGATTCGTGCATTTTTCATGTATAGCTGAGAGGAGGCGCTGGTATTCAAGGAACAATTCGCGCGATTACATGCACCATGTTATAGCAGTGTATCGTTAATAGCATGATGCTATTGATGCTATTAACATCGCGTATTGAGCTGCATAAACAGTAAGAAATTCTCGTCTCCCAGGGAAGGTTGTAGGAAGGTGGAGAATTGAGTAGATGCAGGTGAGTCGCCTGCATCACTCTTTGATGCTAAAGTTACGCACGCTTTCGCAGTCTGCCAAGCTACGGTAAGTTTTTGAGTTGCTTATTTCAATTTTGCAAAGCTAATAATAATGCCTTTGCGACCTGTGATTCGACAGGACACTAGGTGGTCGTCAACTTTTAGCAAGCGTTATTTTGAGCTCTTAGAGCACCTGGATATGAACGATGACACACTCGTTGAGTACCTGCCGCCGCCAGCCGCCAACTGTCGCCTTCACGCCGTTGTTACTTGACTTTATAAACTACTCTGTGCAGGTCCCCGCGCCCAGATCGTCCACAGCCCGGACTTCGAGGCCGCATGCGTGCGAGTTCTCGGTGGTGATGCCGGTCGAGTGAAGCGTGCAGAGCGGGCTGCGCTGGAGCCCTTCCGGCACCGTCAAGCTGAGGCTGCGGGGGAGGCACGAGAGGACGGGGAAGTCCAAAGCAGCAGCGAGGAAGACTCTTTCGTGGTGTAACTTCAAAAGCGCCGGCGGCTTGCTCGCAAGTGTCGGAACTCGGAGGAGATTGAGAGGAGATCTTGAAACGTCGCAGCAAGAGTGGGACGACGAGCGGCTCCAGAAGAATGCGAAGGAGGGCAACAACGGAGTACGAAGGAAGAACGAGCAGTTAGGAAACTCCTACAGAGGAGGATGCATACTTTT